TATTGATAGTTGTGATTTGTATGCTTTATATAACAAAAACTACTGTTGATAATTTGTTAAAAATGAATAAATTCAGCAAGAAAGAGACCCTTTTATAGTTTCAAAATTTCAAAATGTTTTTTTTTTCCTAGAAAGCAACATATTAAGTCTTGTTTCATCAAGTGGTTCTCTGATTCAGTCTTTTCCTACCTTTCCTGTAAGAGAGCTATCAAGAGATTTTTTTTTTGTCTTATCTAATACCAATCCAGGAAAATAAGAAAGTTGGTTAACTAGTCTGCAGAAATAGTGGCATTGCTTGACTTTGATGAGACACCTGTTCATATTATAAATTCCATTAAAGAAGTGTCAGGTTGCTTTAAGATGAAAGTAAACTTTCATTGATAATAAATGTCATATGGAAGCCCCCCCCCCCAAAAAAAAGAATCTAGAAAATAAAAGTTTGATAATAGACATCGCCTGAATTAAAGATACACTATTTATCTTTCTTGTATCTAATGTAACATTGGTAGCTGCATCTCAAAGGATTGCCGATTGAAAAGATAAGAAAGACGGAAAAGAAAAAAAAAAAGGTATCTACAGAAAAATTAAGAGACACTTTCCATGAGAATAGACATTGACTCTTTTTTTTTTTTTTTTTTTTGAAGAAAATAATCTTTAATTTTTAGCATAAGTTTTGCCTCTGATTTTTGGGAACTTGGCCTTCATATATTCAAAGTCTTCTGAGTTCTTCCAGGCAAGTATCTTCACATATTGTTTCATGAGCCTAAGTTTCATTATGTGAAGAGGGGAGAAGAACATAGCAATATTTTGTGAATACTGATTGCATTCCTATCAACAGATCCAATCACCTTTAAATCTACACATATATTCCAGTTACATTTTGAGTACTTTGTCATGAAATAGATTTTTTTTTTTTCAAATTAGCTGTTAAAAATTTCTTGGGGCTTACAGCCATATCATGTTGAAAAACCTGTTCTCATTCAATCACTAAAGTTAAGCAATGTTCAACTTGCTCAGTACTTAGACGCATAACTACTGGGGAATACCAGGTGCTGTAAGTTTGGATGTACAGGTGGTGTAATGAATAACAGCTCAAAATGACAAATCAGAGAACCAAGTTCCAATTCCAGTTGGGTTCGTTATATTCACTTGCATGCAAATACCCCTGGGGAAAAGTATGAAACCACCTCTTCTCTTCCTAGCTATGGGTTAAATAGACTTCTATCAGAAAATTATCTCCCCCACTCTCCAAATTCTTATTTTCTTATCCAAAAATATGTTTCAGCATTTCATAACCTTTAAAAGGTTGATAAGCTGTAAAAAAGAAAAAAAAAAAATCAGTCTGCCTCTTCTACTCAAACAGCTTCTTCTCTTGCACTTCCTGGCAGTGGAACTCCCTTCCTCTTACTTGTTTCCCTGATAGTTATAATCTTCAAATATTCAAATGTATTGTCAATTGATATCTTCTGATGCCTTGATCTTGATCCCAGTCCTTCTCTTTATCCTTTCCTCAAACACCCCTCTTTACTCTTACTTTCACTCTCTCTAACCCTTTGCATGCTAGTGGCACTTCAACCTTGCTTGGGGTGAAATGCTTAAAAAAAATAAAAAAATCGAATAACAATAAACAAAATACAGTCTTGCAAGTGAGAACATTGTATTGGTTGAATTATAGAAACTAGCCATCTCAAATATACAAATGGACTCTTCCAATTTAGCTGTGTTCTATAAATAGTTTTACTATCTGGAGAGCTTTTCTTGGAATTGTCAGAAGAGTCTATATTGATTGTTTCTTTAACATTTGTAGCTTTTCAGAAGAGTCCAGTTATTTTGATCTTAAAATAAATTATAAAACTTTGTTCACATGAATGGACTCTTTTGTTGCTACTGGGAAATAGACTTTATTTTTCTGTCTCAGTTTACTTTCACAATCCACAAACATAGGTTGGTTGATTAAAATTTAAAATAATATGCTCAAGCCCAAGGAGCTGTCCTCCCAGGCAATACATCTCTCTGAAGAGCAAGGGTGGTGGACCTAGTTTCATTACCTAATGCTTGAGGCATCCCAAAAGAAAGAGTGCCTAGGTGGTCAAAGCAATTTTTTGTCTCTGGTCCATGTACACGTGGGCTCAAACTTTAAACGTAGCCCTGTGCCACATTCTATTTAAGTCATCATACAACTTATTTTGCAAACCATCCAAACCAGTCATGGTCAGAGGTAAATCAAAGTATAACATGTGGAGGTGGGGACTGGAGGTACAACTATGACCTTTCACCTTGCATATAACGGTGAAGGGTCATGGTTAATATCGAAGTTAATCTAAATTAGGATTGCACCATTTGCCAATTACTGATTAATGAGCCTAAAGTTATTGGCTGGTTACTGATTAGACAAATTAGTTAATTCCCTTTAGTAAGTCAACTCTTCAAGTTTGTGTTCACTTATACTGTGGCCAGTGATTGAACTCACAACTCTTTGGGTCAAGTCACTGGATTACTTCAACCAATGTTTTATCCATGTCCACAAGGACACTCACTGAAACTGAGATATCTAGAAGAGGCATGGCACGTGGAACTAGAACAATCTATCCCTGTGGATGAAATAAAGGGTTCGGTTCAAAATTCCAATCATCTGAAGAAGGTCAGAGCATACAATGTCTGAAACGTTGTGAATATAACATCATAATGATGAGGACCACAGTCCAAACAATGTAAATAGTGTAAAAGGTAAAACATTTTGCACAAGTTGTTCTTTGAAATTAATTGTCTATTGTCTCTAAAAGAAAAACTAGCTTCTAAAAGCAATTGTTGCTTAACCAAAAAAAAAAGAAAACCCAAAAATACATTAACTATTATTTGCAAGACTCAAAACAGGACATTAGGATCGCCTTCAAGTTCATGTTATTCCACTTTTTAATTTTTGTTTTAAGAATTATCTCAAAGAAGAAAAAACTGAACAAGTGAATATTTTCTGGTGTTGGGTATTGTGACATAGTATCAGTATTTTGCTTTGTACGCATAATTTCCATTTCCATCAAATGAATCTATATTTGCTCAGCAAGTCGTAAAAAACCTGATTATGACCAATGGAAATATTGTTAGGCATTTCAACCATTCCACTTCATCAATAAACAAGTTGATGGAATTAAAAGATCAGCTAGGTTTAAAGAAACAAATCAATTCAGACTCAATGGAATCAAATACTATACACTGGAAAAATGCAGAGTATTCTGTGTCTGAGCTGGTGTTGCAGCATGCTTCAATGGAAATTGGTTGAAATAGCTTGTGTTTGTTATGTCTGGTTTGGTTTTCTGCACATTGAGAGTGTTACTCTCGACTTAGAAAAAAAACTAGTGTTATATAGCTCTCTCAATCCCAGACCCACACTGACTACTGGCTGATAGATGCCCAGTATTGTTCATATGCAAATAGTCAGCACCATCTACTCTAAGTAGAATGCCTTTTCTCAACAGCCGATTGTGGAAGAGGACGTAACTCCTGGTGCTTACTGCACCACACGCAACCAACTCTTATCGGGTTGACCTAATTCTTTGTTACAATTAAAGAACAAAAAAGCCTCTGCTATATATAGATACTTAAATTCCTATATTAAGTTCTAATCAGTGGTGGAGGGAGACAAAAAATTGCTCAACTTCTAAAATCATTCAAAGAAATTAGTGAATAAGAGAAGCCACTTACACTATTTACATTATTCGGACTATTGTCCTCATCTTTCCATATTTATTACAACGCTTCAGTCCTTGTCTATATTTCTGAGATGAGGTATTATGTACACTATTTACATTATTCAGACTATTATCCTCATCTTTGTCGCCATATTTATTACAACATTTTGGCCCTTTAGTATCTGTCCATATATCTGAGATGAGGTATTATGTACACTATTTACATTGTTTTTCACAAATATCAAAATAATGGGTTAAGTTCGACATTCCAACCACCTGAAGAAGGCCTGAGCGTACAACAGCTGAAACCTTGTGATAAACATGGCGACAAGATGAGGCAAATAGTGCAAATAATGTAAATAGTGTACATAATACCTCATCTCAGAAATATAGACAGATAGAGAAGCCATTTCTTCAACAATTATCTCCACAATTGAAACTTGTGAATTTATTTCAAGCAATATCTTCAGTAGAATTTATACCATATAGTGAAAGAACATCAGTTCAGAACAGATTTTCTGCAATTTTCAAAAAAAATTTTTTTTTTTTTTTTGTGTGTGTGTTTTCCTTGACACTTTTGGAGAGAATTCAACCAGAGATATTTCATCCAGGCTTTGACTTGATCAGAAACCTGGAAATGTACCTCTAACCTTCTCAAATTTACTTGATGAATTAGCTGTTTTATGTTTTTTTAAAATAAAAAAGGGACTCCAAAGATTCTCCAAAAGTTTGTTTACCTTGACTACCAAAAAATGATTAATTTATGTGCAGGAAAATTTAAAAAAAAAAAAAAATTTCCTCATTTGAGTAAACTAGGTTTAAAATATTTGAGATTGTCAACTTGGGCACAAATTGAAAGTCTCTTTAGTCAAAGGGTTATATATATATATATATATACACACACACACACACACAAGTATAGGATTGGTGTATACGGAATACATTCCAATAACCAACAATTACTATTCTTAAGAGTGCTCAGTATAGAGTAGAGCAAATATAATTATTTATTCGAAAGATATAACACAAATATGTTATTAAAATCACTACAAAAATAGCCATTTTGTTACAACAGCCCTGGTGTCTTATCAAGTGATGATGTTGAATGTAGAATTTTACATTCAACATCATCACTTGATAAGACACCAGGGCTGTTAAAACAAAATGGCTATTTTTGTAGTGATTTTAATAACATATTTATGTTATAGCTTTTGAATAAATAATTATATATATGTGTGTGTGTGTGTGTGTGTGTGTGTGAGAGCCTAACTAAATTTTGTATTAAAACTGCTTTTGTTTTCTCTCTCTTACCAGGTTCCAAAGCCCAGGACATGCAGGGAACTCCCCCAGCAATGGTGGGGGGTCTGCCTGTAGGGAGTGGTGTCTCCCCACAGCCAGCTTTCATGTACCGTGGCATCTGGATCCCCTTCATTCTCACCATACCCCAAGGACAAACTAAACCAGTGTTGTGAGTATAAAACCCCATTATCAGTATTGCTCTCATCTGTTCTGTATTCATTAGAAGTTTTATAGTTGGAATGACTTTATTTACAAAGCATAGTTTAGTATGACACAATGTCATAAATGTGAGACACCGAGTGAGAATTAGACTTATGATCTATGTATGAAATTGACTGTAGTCGGGATCATAGTGTCATTGCTAACACCAGAATCTTTTTATTGGCTGCATAGTATGTGCTTTGCTAGATCTATATATGGTTTGAATTCAGTTTTCTTTACTAAAAGGTTAAAATCAAGGTAGTGTGATCAGTTGACCTAATTTTTTCAAATTTTTATATATATATATATGAGAGAGAGAGAGCAGCATGACTCCATCCAGCTCTTATCTCAAATAACAACTTAAGAGACTGTTTGACCAGCACAAGGACTGACCAAAATTCATGTTAAAAAAATGAAAACGACAGGCAAAAGTTCATTTTCCCCATCAAGACATTCATTTCATTTGTAGTTCACTGCTACCAGCAAGCAGAAAATTATTTTTCTCCTGATGATGGCCATGTTGGCCAAAACTAGTTGAGGAATCTAAATGAAATAATAATAAAAAATGAAAGAATATTAATATACAACCCAGTGCGTCTGAAGATTTTAATTTTTAATATTTTTTATTGTTCAATATATATATATATATATATATAAACACACACACACACCCTCTGTCTCTGATATTGAGCACTTTATCCCGTAAATATAGCACGTCTTAAGACTATATTTCTTCATATATATATATATAAAATAGGAAAGAATTCGTTAGGTAAATAATCCGAAGTTGTTTTCGGCTCTTGTTTTGAAACATGAGAACTCTTATGTAGCGATGGAATCATATTTTTAAATAAATAATTTTATATATATATATATATATATATATATATATATATTTATCCAGCACGAGAGCTCTTGTCATAGCAGGGGTCTATTTGTTACTGCTTGTAACAAATGTAAGTGAGACCTCAAAGGATCTTATTCCTTGTTTGCTGAGAGAATGAGGCACCACATAACCTCTAAAAACTTTGGCCTGATGATTACATCTAGCATGAAACATCCTGATGTCGCTGTAATAAGGTACTAAATAACACAAGGTCTCTATCCCCCCCTTCTTCAATCGATTTGAGGTCTTATCATCCTCTGCTGATAAAGCCAAATACTTTGCCTGTAGATTCTCATCAAACTCTACTCTTGACTCATCTAGAATATCCCAGCCTAATTTCCCTCCTAGAACTGAGTTTCTGTTGAGTGATTTGCATATAACCCCCTTCCATGATTCTTGCTATCATCTCTAACCTAGATCCACACAAAGCATGTGGAGCCGATGGTATCTCTGTAATAGTCATTAAGAAGTCTGCTCTCAAACTGGCTCCTGTTCTCTCTAAACTGTATAATAAATGCCTTGCTGCCTCCTGTTTTCCTTCTTGCTGGAAGTCATTGTCTGTTGTTCCAGTTTTTAAGAACTCTCGTGAGCCGTCTGAATCTTCTATCAGTCCATTAGCCTTCTATCTCTTTTTGGAAACCTCCTAGAGGCTCTAAGCAATGCTGAATTGGTTCATCGTCTCTCATCACTTGGCCTTTTCTCAGACAAGCAATAAAGTTTTCATTTCTCCAGATCAACTACTGATGTATTAACGATAATTGCAGAAAGAATCCATCATACTCTAGATAAAAACGGTGAAGCCCAGGCTGTTGCATTGGACACCTTGAAGGCCTCTAACAGGGTCTGACATTCAGGTCTTCTTCACAAGCTGAAAAGTTGATATCTCCAGAAACATTTTTCAGCTGATCCAGTCATTCCTGTCTAAGTGTGAAATGAAAGTTGCCCTGAACTGCCACTCATCTCGATCCTTTTGTACTAACACAGATGTCCCCCCGCCAGGGCTCTATCCTTCGACCTATGCTCATTTTTTATCTTTATTAATGACCTTCCTGACAACATCAGCTCTCAACTTGGCATCTATGCTGACGACACTACCATTTACTACTGTTTCTATAGTAAGGCTGAACAATCTGACAAGGTCAAAATGGCAGCTGATGTACAAAATGACCTAAAGATAGTTTGTCAATTTTAATGCTGCCAAAACTAAACTTCTCTTCATTAATCATTTGAGAGACCCCTCTCTGTCTTCCATCATTATGGCTGATGCTATCCTCTAGGAAAGTGACTTGTTGTGCCTTCCCAGGCTAACATTCTCAGCTGACACAAAGTGGAAAGACTATAATGAATCAACTGCAAGGTTAGCTGTTAAGAAAGTCGGTTCACTGTGCCGGGTGAGACAATTTTTCTCTGTGAAATCTATCTTGCTTATCTATAAATCTACCATTTGTCCATAATTTAGAATATTGCTTCCATATATGGTCTGGTGCCTCTGCTGGGGCTACTTGATAAAATCTAAAGAAGAATCAGCAATATTACTGATTCTGACCTGGCAGCTTGGCTTCTGCCACTTGTTCTCTGTGCCTTTTTTATAAATACTTTCTTGGTAATTGTTCAGATGAGTTTCTCACAATGGTACCTAGACTGTATGAATTTAAACACAGTACTAGACTCGTAAGATCTCATCAATTTAGATTTGAGTTAGCTAGATGTAGCCATACATTCTATGCTTGCAGTTTCTTGCACTTTTTCTTTGTGGAACTCTCTTCTGGCTTCATGCATTGCAGCTGTATTTAACCTGTGAAAATTTAAATGCAATGTCAATCGCTATCTATTGTCCTCCTGACTATTCATTTCTGTTTCTACCCACTACTAATGTTTCTATTCTTAATTCCTCCACACCTTGTAACCCCTTGCATCTTAGTGGCTTTACTACCTTGCTTGGGATGGTACTGATTTGAAAAAAAAAATTACATATACATACTTATATATATCTATCTGATTGAATAAATTATAAATTTCTACACCATAAAAATAACAGATTTAGATTACAGATACTGGAAGCAATATATATTAAAAGAATTAAAGTCGTCACTGAACAGAATCGACTATGAATACTGCAGTAATGTTGTGAAATGCCTGTAAAGAAACAGTTTTTTTCATGCTTTGATGCACATGTAACCATGACATTATAACAGAGAGGAAAAAATTCCATAATGGATAATTTTTTCCTGTTCTAATGAATGCTTGGCACATTGTCAACCATTTTGCATTTAAAAGCATAATGAAAAATTATGGTGATTGATAACAGTGCACATCCTTATATAAATACTTATACTAATCAACAACATAGTTTTGTACCACTTGCACCTGTGAAGATGATCTTGGAAAAAGATCAAAAGTACTTGGGAAATGAAAATAAATTTAAACACCTATAGCACATTTCTCTCATCCTTTAACATCAATACATGGAAGGTTATTTGTGAGTATGAATAGATTTTATTAAAAATTAGCAGACATAATAAAAGACATGCCTAAAAGAGAATTTGCTGCCTAAATACTCATATATATATATATATTAAAGACATTTTTATGTTTAACGTTCTTTTTTATAGATACAAGTATTTAAGTAAATGCTCTGTTTATAATAAACAGTATTAAATAACATTTACTGGCCTGAATGTCCGAGAAATTTTCATAGAAAATATTCGTCCTTTGACAGGATTCAACCTGCATCCTATAATGAACCGTCATTTTACGCTGACGTGCCTTAACCGACTTCGGCCACAAAGGAGGCGTTCGGTAGGCAAGGTCGAATTTACTGCTTATAAACTTCAATCTTCCATGAATCACGTACATTCATAACTGCTCTGGCGTATCAAATGTAAACAAATGACGTCATATATTAAGAAATGGACAAAGTCCGACAATTTATTTATTAAAGACATTTTTATGTTTAATGTTCTTTTTTATAGATACAAGTATTTAAGTAAATGCTCTGTTTATAATAAACAGTATTAAATAACATTTATCAGCCTTTATTTATTTATATTTCTTAATATATATATATATATATATATATATATATATATATATATATATATATATATATATATATATAAAAGAGAGAGACAATTATATCCCATATTACCTCATATGAGAAATAAGCTTATTTCAACCGACGACAAAAAAATTAATTTTGTCAGTCTTATTCATCCAGTATAGACTGAGTTCATATCAGAATTAGAAATTTAACTGTGAAAGCTAAAAAAAAAAAAAAAAAATGGTGAAAAACTAATACAGAATTTATTCATTTCAATGTTTCAGTAAGCTGAAAGGCATGAAACAGTGGTTATGGAAGGTTGAAATAAGCTTATCGCCCATATGAGGTGATTTGGGATTTTATAGTGTATTATTTTTTGCTCTGTAATAATAAATACACTGAACTCTTTTTGTTGATCAGTTTTCATATTTTATATTACTATGATTCACTTGGATTATATGCCAATTGATTTATTACCTTTACTATATATATATATATATATATATAGGTGAACATTGAAGTCAACACTCAGAGGTAACAGGCTGTTTCATGCTAGGCATAATCGTCAGGCTGGCCTGATGATTACATCTAGCATGAAACAGCCTGTTACCTCTGAGTGTTGACTTCAATGTTCACTTTTATATTTACATACTCTCTGATATTGAGCACTTTTATCCCATAAATATAGCACACTTTAAAACTATATTTCTGCATATATATATATATATATATATATATACACACACATAGGTTACTCTTAATATTTAATTATTTGGTTTATATCCAGTTATTGGTCAGTTAAATTAGACTAGTTGTATTAAAAATTATTTCTATTTTCTCTCTCTTGGCTGATCTCCTAATTTTATATATATATATATATATATATATATATATATATATATATATATATATTCATTTCAACCTTTGGAAGTAAAGTCTGATGATCCAGAGCCCTGTTAAAGGGGTTATGGTGAAATAACTTATTACATGGAACCTTAAAGTGGTCTGTTTTTATTCAAACATATCGGCTCTGAATTTTACA